TCTCCGCGCTTCCCTTTGCCATTCCACCCCCACCAAAGACCCCAGATTGACCAAGAACAGGTCGGTCCCCTATGGCCGAAGGTGTCTTCCGGAACGTGGCCTCCTCGCACCCCCTAATCGATGAGATTGACTCCGCCGGCACGGGCGCATACCATGAGCTCGAGCCCCCCGACTCGCGCACCATGTCCACCCTGCGCAAGCACGGCATCACGGACTACCAACACGCCGCCCGCAAGGTGACCAAGGAGGACTTCCTCAACTTCGACTACCTGCTGGCCATGGACAATTATAACCTCCGCGACCTTCTGGATACTCGCGAATCTGTCGTCGCGTCGATGAACAAGTCCGGTGGCGCGGCGTCGCGGGGCAGCAAGGCCACTCGGGGAGCGACCGCCGCGGCGCTTGCGGCGAGCGGGGAAGCTGGCGCCAAGGTTGCAGAAGTGTGGCTGTTTGGAGACTTCGGCACTGGCGGCGTCTTGCATGATCGCGCGGGTGGCGGAGAGGTGGTGAAGGATCCGTACTATGGTGGCGTGAACGGGTTCGAGGAGGTGTATCGGCAGGTGGTGCGCTTCTCGAAGAGTTTCATCGAGTATTTGGAGAAGGAGGCTCAGAACTAGCTGCCTGGCGGATGCATGCATATTGAGCTGATTTTAGATTATACCCTGTGGTTTGATAGATCATGATAGACCGAGGTTGGGGATCTGAAAAGAACCCTGCCAATCCATTATTTTGCCAAATGAACGAAACGATTGATGAAATATAATACATTTGAAATAGACATGATAACAAGTCGTACTGTACAATAGCAGCATAACACAAGAGCTGGTCTAGATTGTCCGAACCAGCAAATCGATGAGACCTAGCCACTCAGGTCGCGATCATACCTTCTCGCTGATCTTGATCGCTGCCCGACAGCCTAACCGGATGACATTGACCAATGGGTCGTACGGTCGCGCCTCTTTGGCGTCGTTTTCCACGGCATGGTCCAAGTGCTCTAATTCCTCATCCCGGATCCGTCGGAATGTAGCCAGCATATCCTTCAGCTCGTCGTCCAGCTCCTCGCCCCGTTTTTCGGCCTCGTCCTGCCACGACAGGATCTCCCGCACCTGTTCGTTGTAATGCGAACCAATTTCCGTCTCCACCGCTTCCGTGCAGGCCATGGCTGCTTCTCGCCCCATGGCACCGGTCGACCAGCCGAGGAAGGTGGCTGCCTTTTCCCAGAGAGGGTACATTGCCGTCGGCCGGACGCGATGTTTGGCGATGAGGCTGTTGAAGGTGAACAGGTGCCCGGCCTCTTGATCGTACATGTGTTTCATCAAGGGTCGCAGATGGGGGTGAGACCGCACCACCTGTGGCGTTTGCGCGGTGTAAATTAGTGTGGCGGCGAGTTCGCCGGCTTGGTTGACTCGGAGGGCGCTGCTCATGAATTCGCGTTGGCGCTGGCTGAGAACATATTTTGGTTTGGATGAGCCGGATTGCGGGTCACGCGCGGCATCTTGACCGGCGACTGCGGTCTGTTTCGACGCTGTTGAGGTGTACTGGCGAGAGGTGTGTTTTAGGGCTGAGGGCGCGAGGAAATCCAGTAACACCGGCGATGAGCGGTGCAGAGAAGATGTGGGTGCAGCCCGTCGCAGGGCCATGAGAGGTGCCATGGTGAGTGAATGACCGCCAGGCTATTGTCCTGCAGCACAATGGGTCAAAAAGACAATCTCTCGGACCGGAGAAGTATATAGGAAAGCGTGAATGACGGAAGCTCTCACGGACATTCCGAGGTGGTCCAATCCGGCACCCGCAGACGCGCGCTTAACGGGCGCGAGGCTTGGCACGCCATCCCTGGACTGGACGTCATGGCGGATGAAGACGAATCAATCGCTTTTCACTTTCGAATTCAACTCATCACCTCCTGTCCGCCACCCGACCTGCCCTCGCCCTCCGCCCATCTATACCCCGTTCCCTCTATACTGCGCCGAGCACCCCCAACTGACGGATCTGTTCAAGTCATTTGTCCAGCTTATATACGATCATCTTGCGATTTGAAAAATTAAAACAATACGAAACAGAGTTCTTGCCGGCGAGGACACTTTGCCTTCTCAGCGGCGCATTGTGGGAGTTCTCAGGGGGAAAAGCCATTCTTTGTCTCTTGCTTAGCGGGTTATTCCTGAGTCCCCGGTGGCCTTGCACCTGACTGAGTAGCTACGTTCGCGGTACCTGATATATAAGGCATCCCTTTGAACAATTCCCTATGGCCGATGACTTGGACGCCGAGCTGCTCGCGCTGGCGGGTGATGATGCCTCCGATGAGGAAGCCTCTCCTCCCCCCAACCAGAAGGTGACCTCACCTTCACCTTCATCCTCCCCACGATCTCCAGCCACCTCCTCCACCATGGGCCGCAAAGGAACCGCTAAACCCGTTCGACGGGGCCGGAAATCAAGGAAGGACGACGAGGAAGATGGTGAATTGTAGGTTTGATGATGGCGATTCTCCCCAGCCTCCCCGATTCTTTACTTCTGTCGCATCCAAGTCCAGCGGACCAATGAGCGCTCAACTGACATGTTTCGCCGAACAATAGGTCTGGGGATGAGTCCCACCATTCTCTTGACTCTGCTTCCATGTCCGAATCCGACTCAGGTTCTGACTCTGAAGGATCCGATCACGGCGCTGAAGACGACGGCCCCATTTTCGCATACGACAAACTTTACCACTCGTCCAAAGACAAAGAGGAGATCATGGCCATGCCAGAAATCCAGCGCGAGCAGATCCTCTCGGAGAGAGCGCAGCAAGTGGACCGCCACAACCAAGACCTTGCTCTCCGCCGACTCCTTGCCTCCCGCGAACGTGAAGAAGCCCGCCAGGCGAAGAAGCACAAGCGCAAGGCCAGCGCCGCCAACCTGGAGGATGGTAACCGCAAGAGCTCCCGTCAGAAGACAACCCTTGGTGGTCGCAAGGTAGGCGAGACTTCAGATGCTATCCAGGCCTACAAGCGACAGCGTGAGCAGAAGGGTAAGCGCGACGAGCTACGTCGTCGCGATCCCGCACCCAAAGACCAAAAGGCTCGCTCGAGGGACGACCCGATCTCGGATGACGATGCAGAAGGCGAGAGCGAAGTCGAATGGGCTGATCGCGATCGATCCCCGTCGCCTCCCAAAGACGATCCACTTGCCGATCTTCGTGACTTGAACCGGGCTCGCGTGGGTCGCACCAACTTTGCCCAGGTTTGCTTCTACCCGGGCTTTGAGGACGCTATCTCGGGGTGCTTTGTCCGTGTCAACATCGGCCCGAATCGCGATACCGGATTCAACGAGTATCGGCTCTGTGCGATCAAGAGTACGTACAGCGCAGCTTTGTTTACGTTCATATTGGCCTCTTTTGACAATATTGTCTGACTGTCCGCAGGGTTCAACGAAGGCCGCCCCTATTCTATGGAGGGCGCGAACGGTCGTACGTTCATCACCAACCAGTATGCCGTTGTGTCGCACGGTAAATCGGAGCGCGAATTTCCGTTCATCGCTTGCTCTGATTCCACGATCACCGAGGTAAGTCATGCAAGCAGTGGGAGTCAATTTCTTCGCTCATCGCTCTCTCTAGGCGGAGTTCAATCGATACCGTCAGACCCTGGTCGTTGAAGACTCCAAGATGCCGACAAAGTCTATGCTTGACGATAAAGTGACCGCTATCAACCGCCTGCTGAATCACAAGTTTACCCCCGAGGAATTGAACGAGAAGTTGCGTAAGCAGGGCACTTTGGACCGCAAGAATCAAACCTTCAAGCGCCTGGAGAACGAGAGACTCCTCAATCTTGCTAAAGCCGCTGGTGACGATGCCGAAATCGAGCGTCTCGAGGCCGAGCGTTCCAGCTTCGCCACTCCCAAGCTTGCGTTTACCAACAACAATGCCAAACCTCAGGTCAAGCAGCAATCGGAGCACGAGCGTCTGCTGGAACTGAACCTGCGTAACCAAAAACTCAATTATGAGAATGTCCGTCGTGCGCAACTCGAGGAGCGCAAAGCCAGTCGCAAAGCGGCGGCGGCAGTGGCTCGTGGAGAGGCTACCGCCAATCCTTTCTTGCGTGTCCGTACCCAGGCCAGAACTCACTACGATGCGAACAGCGGCACCCCGGGTTCTGGCAATGCCAGCAGAGACGCCACCCCGGCCACCGGCTCGGACGCAGCCTCGAAATCCAACACCTCGAGCAAGCCCGCGACACCGTCTAGCTCACAGAAGAAGTCCACTCCGGGTGGCATTGCGAAGATTCGCCATCGGAACATGGACGACGAGAATATCGCTGCCCTGGATCTAGATATAGACGTCGAGATCTAAGTTTCGGATTGTTGCTTTCACGTCATGCCGAACTTCGTTTTCCTTTTCCTATCTCTGTCTTCGCTTATCTTCTTTCACGAAAGAGAAAATCCTCTGGAGTATTTACCACACAGCTTATGTGGTTGAATTACGATCAATGCTTCGCAGGGGGCCGGGACGGTTCTAAAAGATCTTTCTCGTCGCATCCATTCGACGGAAGCACGTACCAGCACTTCCATACAGCGTTGATTCTTCTTGTATCTTGACATAGGGTGGCGTTTGATCGGCGTTCAGCTTTCCGGGATGAATGAGGCCTGTACTATTGAACCAGTGAAAAACTGATGAAACGCCTATTTGCATTTTCCGCCTCCCCATAGATTTATGAATAGAGAGTAAATGATCATCTTTCCACCGTAAGACGTAAACAAAGAACACATCCTACAGTGTCGGCGATAAGACATCTGATGGCAGCTCGGCTTTATCCCCAACGGTCACGTGTGATAGCGACGCGCTGAACACGCGCCGCGTCTTGACGGGACGACGGGAGATTCTCCGCCCTTGATTTCCACTTTCCACACCCCGGGGCTGGAGGACTGCAGACCACTCTTCTTATCCTGTTTCTTCAATTGAAGAGTGATGTTACATTTCTCATTTAATAATTTGACCCCATTTGCACCCATACCCTAAAATATACCCTTTCATAATGTCCTCCCCTTCTACGCCCCGATCGGCGCGCTCCGCGTCGCGAGCAGCCGACTCGCCTGCCATGCTCACCCCCGGACAAAAGATCAAGGCCCTGATGGCCCAATTCGACAGCGACTCCGAATCCGACACTAACACGACAGAAACGAAACCTCAAACCACGAAACCCAGCATTTTCAACCGCCCACAATTCGTGACGCAATCGGACCAGGAGAACCACGACGACGATGAAGACGACGAGATCATCATGCCCAAGGGCCGCATGGCTGCTCGTCTACAGTCTGAGAACCAGACCACGGAACCTGTCTCTGCGATGGAACGAGTGTCGAAGAGTCTGAGAACTGAGAAGGAACGCGAAGACGACGCGGCGGGGTCCTCGGACGATGATCTTCCTACGGCCGGTCCGAGGAGAAGGCTTGCGGATACCAAGATAAGCGAGGACCGGATGGATGAGGATGAAGCTCGTACGCCGGAGCGGGAACGGTCGTTCTCGCCGCTCTTCGTGTCACCTGGTTCCGAGCGAAATGGTCGACAGGACGACGATGGATCGGACGCGTCGGATGATGAGCGACAGCAGCCGAAGAAGAACGCACTATTTGAGGCGCTCATTGCAAAGAAGCGTGCGGAGCGAGAAGAGAAGGAGAATCAGGAGAGACAGATGAAGAAGGAAAGGGCTGAAGCGGCGAAGCTCGCTGCCGCAGATGAAGAGGATGAGGATGATGATATCGAAATGGACTCTACGGGAGGGTCTTCGCGCGCGGCTCGCCCCTCTCGAAAAGCGAGCCGGAAAGCCCTGGAGGATATGAACCGCGAAACGCAACGGATGAGCAGGAATCTGCAATTGGCGCACCAGGCGACGACCTCGAAAAAGATTTCCAAGGAGAGTTTCTTTGCTCGATTCAATTTCATGCAGTCTGAGCAGCCGAAGGCGCCTTCAGCGGATAACTCGTCTAGTATGGCTGGTTCACAGAATTCTTCGGACGAGGAGGCTCAGAAGAATAGGGAAACCCCTCGAACGTCCCCTGTCGTGGGCCCTGCTGACAAGCCGTCGACTGAAGGTGCTTCAACCGAGGCTGTACGAGAGGAGACACAGTTCACTTCTCTTGAGAAAATGGTTGGACAAGCGCAGCAGCAACCAGAACAGCCTGTGGTCGGACGAGTGGAGGCCCACACTGCCAACCCACCTCCGGAAGCCGTGGATGTTAAAGGAAAGAAGAAGCTAATGACTGCACCCTCCATTCATGTTCGCCTTTCTCGACAAGCCGTGGCGCAGAATCAGATGGATGATTCAGACAGTGACTTGGAGGTTGTCACCTCTCCTGCGAAATCCCGCCGTCTCGCCGCTTTTGAGAACGTCCCCTCGAAGAAGATGCAAGAATCATCTGCTCTGCTGAAACTCAAAGCTTTGGCTCATCTCACATCGCCAACTCGCAAATCCACCATGAACAATGCCGAATTGTCTGCAACATTGATCCTTCAGGCCAAAAGACAGGCTGCAAAGGAGAGACAGGAGAAAATCGAAGAACTCCGAGCGAAGGGTGTTATCATCGAAACAGCAGCTGAACGAGCTGCCATGGAAGATGAACTCGAGAACCTGGTCGAAAAGGCTCGCAAGGAAGCAGAGGACATTGCAAAGCAAGAGAGGTCCGCGTCAAAGAAAGGAAACGGTGATATGGATGATGACGATGAGGAGGATGAGGACTATGATGGCTCTGAAGACGAGGTGGACGACAATGAGGACGAAGACGAGAACGAGAACGGCGAAAAGGGGCATGACTTGTTTGACTCTGAAGCCGGCGAGGATGACGAGTCGGCAGACGAACAGAGTGAAACTATGTCGACCGGGGAACCTGAGACGACCACACAACGGCGGAAACGACCTACCCGTATTATCGAGGATGACGACGAGGATGAAGAACAGGCCCCAACGACGCCCGCCAGACCAATCAATGCGACACCACTGTCTATAGAACGACCTCAGATTCCCGGTCTTCCTTCCAACGACATGACGATGAGTCTTACTCAGGTATTTGCAGGCACATTGGGTGGAAGTCAGCAAGATAGCCAACCACCCTCGTCAACGATCCCCCATTCTCTGCCTGATCCCGCGCAGCGGGGTGGTGAATGGCAAGAGTCCGACTCGCAGATTATGGTAAAGGATAGCCAAGAACCGCAAGCCGAGACCGCCGATTTCCTGGCCCGATACACTCCCTCTGACGCTCGAGTATCCGAGTCTCCTGCACCTCGGGCCATGTCACAATTCTCTTCAATTCCCGACCCGACGCAGGATGAAGGTTTCGTTCTCTCACCCTTCGATCCTTCAAAGAGATTTATGGGCACTCCAACGTCGACTGTGGAGACCGTTCTCGTCGACCGAAATCAATCCCTAAGCCATTCCCCTGTTCCCAACCGGAAGATGAAGCAGCTCCGACGTGGCAGAACAGAACTGTCCGCTATCGAAGAGCAGGAGGAGAGTGGGTTCGAAGTCGATGCTAGCGCCTTCAACGTCATGAAGAGAGCGGTGAAGAAGCCTAATGTTGAATTCGATAGGAAGAAGAGCAAAGCTAAGGACGTGGTGGAGGAAGCAGCCGAAGAATCCGAAGACGAGTACGCCGGGCTGGGAGGTGCCAGTGACGAGGAGGATGAGGAAGAGAATGCCTATGATCGGCAGATGATCAACGACAACAGCGGCGAAACGGTTGACGAGAAGCAGCTGGCAGCTCTTAACGCGTATGTTTCAATCCGCCCATATTTCCATAATCTCAGAACTAACAAATCGCAGTCAACATCAGAGAACTACGGACGAGAAGCAGGTAGCCAAGCTGATGAGAGATATTACTACCGGTGCTCTCCGACGACGGAAAGGACCCGATGACGAGTTTGACCTTGACGATTCTGACGACGAACTCTTGGCCCGTCGCCGACAAAAGCAACGCGAGTTTGCTCGCATGCGAAATGCGCTCATGGCGGACGGAAAGGTTGGCGAACTCGCCGAGAACCCTAAGAAAGCGGCTTTCTTCCGCGCCATCGAGGATCATGATTCGGACGACGACGTTTTAGATTTCTTGGACGAGGAAGAGGCCCCCGGATCTCAGGACTATTCATCATCACAGGATGCGAATGCCGCCGGGCAGCAAGACACGACAACCGATGCTGACAACAAGAGAAAGCGACCTCTTGAGCCCAGCGCTGAGGATACCTACAACCGCCCTCCTCCTCACCTTCGTCGCAAACCAGCCAGCGCGATTTCCAAGAAACCCGCCTCGCTTGCGGAGATCCGGGAGACTCTCTCCTTCCTGACTGAGCAACCCGAGTATGACTCGTTCCAAGAGGATGCATCTATGGAGGACGAGCAAGCACATGAAGATGAAGCCGAGAATGCCCCGGTCGAGGAACAATCACAAGAAGATCTTGTCCCGCGCGTGCACCCTCGCCGTACGAAGGGACCCGTGGTGGATCGTCTTGCACTCCTCCGGCAAGCGTCGTCCAACTCGGCCACGTCGGCGTCCACACGAGTTGCCTTCCACGCGGGCTCCGGGGCACAGGGGCCCAGCATCGGATTCCGACCTCCTCCCATGCTCCGCAAGGCCACAACCGGCTCGTCGTCCGGTTCGTCCAAGTCTGACTCGCGACGGATGTCGGCCCCTGCGGCTGGCGGAGCCAAGAAGGGAGCGGTCAACTATTACACGGCTGCTCGCGAGAGGGAGCGTGAGAAGGAACTGCGCACTCAGAGTCGTGCCGGCGGTTCCAACATCACGAAATTGCTCAACAAGTATTCCGGCAACCGACTGGGCTCGCTGGGAGGTACGGGACAATGGGATTAAGGCCAGAATTAGAGATTGCCGGTCAATCTTTCGGATTTGGACATACATATGGGCGTCATGGTTTAATGAATAGGTAGCTTGATCTAATCAAAGAGTTTCATGAACAATATACTATACCCTCCCAACTATACACACTCTTCATAGCGACGCCTTCTCGAAATACTCGCCAAACCTCTCCTCCGCCTCCTTCACGCAATCAAACCCATAAATCTCCTTCTGTACGTCCGCGTCCGCCCACTTATCCGGCACGGGTCCCCGTCCCTGCCTCAGCGCCGCAAACTGTTTATCGCGCTCCTCCTTCGCCGCGCCATCGCCCAAATGCAACGCCCGCCCCGACGCCGCCGCCATATCCACCAACGCGTACGCCCTCTCCTTCCTCACCATCTCATACGCCTTCAGCGCACGATGCACCGCCCCGGCACTCGTCTCGGGCAACCGACTCAACACCACCGCCAGCACCGCTCCATCCTCAATCGCCTGCGCCGCGCCCTGCGCTAGATGCGGCAACGTCGGATGACACGCATCCCCGACCAGGGCCACTGAACCCTCGACCCACGTCGGCAATCGATCATGACATCTCAGTTTCCACTCACACACCTCGCCCTCCCCCACGTACTGTAGCATGCGCTGCACTAGGGGACAAAAGTCCCCAAAGACCTTCATCATGACCTCCTTCGATCCCTTCGTCGTGTATGTCGCGTTCGTCGCCTCCGCGAAGTTCGTATCCGGCTGCGTCGTCGAGAGGTTGTAGATCGTGTTATTGCTAACCGGGTATGCGATGATGTGTCGTTTTTCGCCGATCCAGCGGACGACTTTGTTGCTTTCGAGTAGGACCAGGATGTCGCTGTCTTCCGGGCGGAGCTGGTCTTTGTGGATCATGATTCGATAGGCTGCTTGGTTCGTGTCTTGCACGCCGATCTGGGAGAGGATGCCTAGGTGTGAGAGCATGCATTCGCGCGTGCGGGACTTGATTCCATCAGCGCCGATTAGGATGTCTGTGGTGATTCTCGAGGAGGGGAGGGATGGATCGCGCGGCGTAGCTGTGAACGATGGTTGCGATGATGAAGAAGAGGGAGAGGGGAAGATGATATCCGACGCTGTAGTTGCGAAATGGAACGTGATTTGATCGCTGTGCCGCAGACACCCCTGATAGAGGCCGTTGGCAAGGGAAGCCCGATGTCCGACCATGTGCGGATAGGCATAAGTCTTGGTGATGTGGTGGAGGTCGACGTGTGCGAGTTCGGTGTTGGTAGAGCCGACTGTGCAGGAAAGATAGACTTGTTAGCAAAGCTGCTTGCCATCCCATCTATCGTGCTACATATTCCATGCACATTCTCAGGGTGTATAGTTACGAACTTCTCACGCTCGTCTCCTTGATATCCACCGCCTCAGCCGCGATCCCGTCCCAGACGCCGAGACGATCCAGCACGCGCGCCATGTTCGGGGCGAGTTGAATGCCCGCGCCCACGAAGCCTAGGCCCGAGGCGGATTCGTACACGTCGATGTGTTTGAATCCCTGGCGCGCGAGGGCCAGGGCGCTGGTGAGACCGCCCATTCCTATATGACATCATGGATTATGTTAGTGATTGGATCTGGAGGATGTATGCATGGTAGAGATTAGGGCTGTGACTATGGAAGGCGAGGGAGAGAGACGAACCGGCGCCCAAGATGGCGATTTTGAGATCCTGTGGTGACTTTGACATGTTGGACTTGGGGTTAAATTCTTAGTTGTAAGAGATCTGTACACGGAGAGGATTGAATGGTACATGGTGATTGAGAAGTCCCTTGGATTTATGTAGAAGGCCGAATACGGCTCGGAGATAGGTGGGATAAGATCTTTGCCGGTTCCCACGAGCCTCCCCACGTCCCACACTCGAACCAGCCATGGAGACTGGGGAGGATGGATCGCCACGCATGAAACGGTTAGCGAGCAATACTAAAATCAAAGTAAACCAGAGGGGACTAAGAAGTCGTGTCTACGATAGCCGATCTCCCCACGTCGGCAGTTTTCCTCCCCGTGGGGCAAATTCGGTCTATTTGATGTACGGACTTAAGAAACAAGCGAAAGTCGGTAGTATATTCATAGAAATTAGGGAATTAAAAGAGAAGTATTAACCACGTGTAACAAAATGCAATCTTGCCAACCATCCATCCTTCATCTCCATACCACTGACATTTCAGGATCGTGCGACAAAAATCATTCTGGAGAGGGTTAGAATCACCATTTCAACGAGATGGAAAATCAAATGGCACTACTTACTATAGATTCTCACCCAACACCTTGACGACCTTGCCGACAGGCTCGCCAATTTCGGGCAAAAGACCAGACACGAGGTCGGCGACAGGGTCAGACAACTCGATGAGAAGCACACCGCCGTCATAGCCGATAATGGTAAGCAGGCACTCGACGACGGGGCCCAGGTCCTTGACAAGCTCGCCAACCTCACCGGCAGCCTCGATAACTTGACCGATGGGGCCGCCGATGGCCTTCAGGCCGAGTCCGTTGAAGACTTCCGCGACGGGGCCGCTCAGCTCAACGAGGAGGATCTTGGAGTCGATGCCGATGATCTGGAGCAGGCAGTTGACGACGGGAGCGACATCCTCAAGGAGACCGTCCTCCTTGACGGGCTCGCCACGCTTGAGGTGCTCGCCAACAGTTCCGACGACCTGGCCGACGGGGCCGGCGATGGACTTGAGACCCAGACCGGAAAGCAGGCCGCTGACAGGATCCTCAAGCTGAATGAGCAGGTAGCCGGTGTCCTGGCCGAGCACGACAAGTAGGCATTCGATGGGGTCGCCAAGGTCAGCGACGAGCTCGCCAATGCTGGAAGCCTCCTTGATGATCGATCCGACGGGCTTGCCAAGGACACCGAGGCCAAGACCGCTGAGAAGACCCTCAACGCCGGGGCTGAGCTTGATCAGGAGTTCCTCGGCGTGCAGACCGACGACGTGCAGCAGCTTGTTGGTGGGGTGGCCGAGATCCTGGATGAGATGACCGGTGCCCCGGCAGCCGTTCTCGTCGCAGCCCTCCTTGGGCTCTTCGGGCTTGGGCTCGGGGGCGGGAGCGGGCTGAGGAGCGGGAGCGGGTTGTTCGGGGGCGGGACCGGGACCGGGAGCAGGTTCCGGAGCGGGCTCGGGGGCGGGAGCAGGCTGTTCGGGAACAGGTTCCGGCACAGGCTCTGGGGCAGGCTCAGGAGCAGGGGCGGGCTCAGGCTCAGGGTGAGAGGGCTCGTGAGGCACCTCGATATCCTTTTCGCAGTCACATTTGTGGTGCTCCAAGCCGCGCTGGTGGATAGGGCTAACGGGGGTGGCAGCGGCACATGCTGCCCAGGCGAGGAAGGCCAAAGTAGAGAGCTTCATTATGAAAATTAATTTAAAAGCCGGGGCACGTAACTATTCTAAAAGAATGACGAAAAGGTAGTGGCCGAAACTAAACGAAGGACGGCGCCCCAAAAGAAAGAAGGCAGAAGAGAAAAGATGAAAGGAGACGCTATAATGAGTGAAGGATCGATTTGACCAGAATACGGGAGTTCGTCGGTGATATTTATACATGTCAACGAGGTTGATTCCCCTTCCCCTCAGTTCGTTACTGTTGTGCACGCTGTTGACTGTAGATTGGTCTAGATGGACCTCGAGTTTCCTCGCCAAGAACGACTATACAGATTCATCTTCTCACGGCGGGTCGATGCATGTTTGGAGAAACTGCAATTTCCACATCCAGTGGGCGTGCAGGAAGGCAGCCAAAATTAGGCGGAGGTTATTATTCGGATCACACTCCAATAGAGGTAGGTGCACGCCACCTTGATCCAATGGCTGTCAATGTCTCGCCCAATGGTCGCGGCTGACAGGATAGACAGGCAGCCCTAAAGTGCGATCTCTTAATAGCTCGGCATAGGGCTACCTCGTTCCGGGAATGCCCCTATTCGCTATGTTGTAAACTTGGAAAATACCCAAAAAGGAGAGATGATAGATATGGTATTTTTGGCCTTCGTGTCAGACATGCAGTCGTAACCCCGGCGTGGCTTCCAATTCGCTTCCCAAGGTAATCTCGATTTGGATTCACCCAAGCAAAGCAAACGCCATGAAGATCCGCAAACTCTTGGCCCCGAGCAATCAAAGATAGGTGAAACCCGGTTAGCGTCGAGGCCGAGAAATAGACTGGACGGTGGTTTGTCGGGCCGAGCGAGTTCCCGCATGAACTATCGATGTGGCGCCGATGATCATCCCGAGCTTGTTTGATACATCACTTTAGCTGCTGCTGTCCAACCGTTGGCGTTCAGCTGCCCAGCACGATCTTTCCCTTCCCCTGCATCCATGTTGTTTGCTTTCGCCGTTCGCTCTTTCTCTATTGGTTGCACATGTCACTTCAGAATCCACCCCTGAGCACTTTAGCTCGCCTTGCAGCTGCGGCCTATCGAGTTTTCATCGTATATCTCCACACCATGTAGGTTCATCACATTCGGCCGTAGAAAGCATGCTTCAGACGGTGGAGCCAGGAAGAAAAGGATGAAAACAAAGGAGAATCCGGACCAGACGGCTTTGGACCTCGACCTCGGGGGTCTCCCCAATATCGACTTCCCTCGCCACTCGGTCTGGACGCGTCGCGACATTGCGGATGCTCGTAATCCTCCACCGTCCCCAGCGGCCAAATCGGCACCACGCAAATCTCATGGTCGCCACATCCCCTGCATTCCTTCCACATCGTCCAGTTCAGGTAATCTATCAGCTCGCGTAGCTGCCCAATAGCCGCATCATATTCCGTATGATTATTCCACGCCTCCACCAACGTGGAGCAGATGCTCCTTGATACCGACCGCACCGCTTCCCCTGCGACGGTACCATCAGGTGCTCCGGCTGGGATGAACTGCGTCGCACACCGCTCCGTCTCCTGACTTGAGTCGCGCCCTCCCTCTCCGTAGTCGATGAAAGGGCCGAGGAGGCTCTCGATCTCCCGATGGAGCTCTTCCAGTGTTTTAGCTTGTCCCGAGGCCATGTACCGCAGTTCATGTCCGTATCGTAGAACCACCATGTCAGCGACGGCCTGCCAATCGAAGTTTTCGGCCTTGTCCATCTGGTGCTTACGAACCAGTTCGTCCACATCGGCTCGGATCGGTTCCAGCTGCTCGTTCGAGAGATGATGCAGACGTGGCAGTTGACTCTTCGTCTCCTTCCCCGGGAACAAATCTAACTCGTATTCATCGTCATACGCCGTCACAAACCAATCAAAGTCCACTCGCACCCGATGTCCCCCTATACCATTGTACCTCGCTGCTATGGCTTTGAACCATAGCCCCTCGTCCGGTGGCCCCCCGCCTCCTGGCCCCTTCCCCTTCCCCTTTCCACCAGGATTATGAGGCATCTTGCTCCTTATTCCCTGTTTCCCACCGTCCGCATTACCCTTCACCCTCGTAACACGGACTATATCCATGGTGTCAAAGTCACATAGTATGATTTCGAACCCGGCCTCCATGCGAATTATACCGTCCAACTTCCCGTCCCAGTCCTCGCGCGCCATGCGACACAGCAACTCGGCCCGTTCTCGCTCCTGCATACCCAGTCCATCGCCCAACTCGTCCCGAAACAGCACGCGGTCTTGAGAGTCCAGCGTCCCGTTGCTTGTCTTTGCCGCGGACATGCCGTCAAGGTAAAGCAGGCGGAGGTCGCGGGCTGCTGTGAAGGTATGCAGGTAGCCTACCTCCTCTTTCTCCTTCTTACCGGCGTCTTTGTCGATGGCTTGTAGTTCCGACTCTGGGCCCGAAGGAGGAGGAGGCATCAATGGCATCTGGGCCCCATCGATATCAGCCCCCGGGGCACCCGGAGGAGGGGGGGGGTGTCCACGAGGTCTCGGCCTCGCGAAAACCATGGCATGTTCAGGTTCAAAAGCCAACCATTCGGGACCGGTGACGTCTCCAGGGCGGGAATTGCCATGGTAGAATTGGGTTCCCGCCGGAACGGAGGCCATGAAGAAGGACATGCCGTTGTGGTGCAAGGAAGAGCCCCATTGGCGCATGGAGTTGTGGATGGTGTTGAAGATGTGGTTGGCGTTGGGGAGAGGGGTGGATGGATCTGCACCTGCGCTGCCGAGGAGAAAGAGAAACAGAGGGTAATGAAGGGACCTCATTTTGAGAGGCCTGTAGGTTGCACGTAGGGATTTTGACCACAAGATTTCAAGGGGGGAAAATTTGGGATGCTAGTTAGGAGAAAAGCGCGATCTTATCAATCAGCAGACATGGCGCTAGTCATCGGGGACGCCAAGTGGGGGTAAGACGCGTCACGGATGTAGGCAGAATGATTGATTGAATCGGTTTTCGATGGTTCCATAGAATGTGCTATCGGTCCGAGAAATAGGAAATCAAATATGCGATGGCGCGACGTTGATGTAGGTCGGTGGTGAGTGCTTCACGAGGCAGCATGACTTCCCGATGTACAGACAACCTGACACGAACTTATCGGCTGTGTATAGAAGAAAGTTGGTTCACGATGCAGGGCAGCCATCGCGTTGAGTAATCCGATGCAAAACATCAATAATGTGGATGCTAAGTGAGTTCTTTTGGTGGATGCAGTGGATGAAGGAGGAATGAAGTATGAAGTCTTGAACGGTGATGTCGTGCAAGTTGAATGCCTTAGGCATTCAATGCAACCTCATGCATCCGGAGTGAGAAAGGACAGGAAGAAAGATGCTTTGTCCCTTGTCCTCTCCAATGATCAGATAATCAGAAAAATTGTAGTGCGATCCAAAAACAGACACCATGATGTAATTCTAGAACTCACTAAACGTACTGATCATGGGGACCAGCTCGATATATATTCGAGAACCGGACTGTGGAAGAAGAACGGTTGGATGACAATATATGAGCCTCAGGGGATGAATGTGACTATAATGATTAGGTTCCTAGACAGAAGCGATCTTGATCTACTGCGGATTTCATTATCTCTTGGAATTCATCATCGAGAAGAGAACATCGATATCTACATCGACATGAAAACCCAAGGCATCCATGGATGTCGACATAGATTACCGCTAGACCAGACACGGTGTTAATTACAGGTAATATACCGTACCAGCCCTGCTCCGGGGCACACGTGACTCCGGCCTAATCAGGCTAGTTCGTAGTGAATCCCTCCCTGCTGACCAACTTCCACCGTCTCTTCTTTCTTCTTTCTTCTTTCTACTTTCTACTTTCTACTTTCCCCGTCGATGGAACGAGAGGAACGGCTGGCATCTCTCCGACTATATATCGAACGGTGAATGAGGGTGTTGTTCCGCACGCGGAGCACTGCCGTCGTGGTATCTCGGGCCAACCCGAGTGGGAGTCCCTCCCCTGCAACCGTTGGCCGTTTATGCAGCGTTTATGCAGCGTTGATGCAGCTAAGCAAGGAAGTCCATTAGGCTTGACTTTCTCATTCGAGATGTGAGATGTGACAATCTCTGGGAATCTTCTATCATTCATGAATCTTTGAATTGATCTTCCATATCCTTCTGACTGAGCAGAGGTGAATCTCGTCCGGGTATAGCCTGAGGCATCAGACTGCCCGATCGAACCATCTGCGTGACGGCAAAAAAGCGTCTTCGATCCCAGACTCGATCTTCTACTGCCCTCTCGTTCCTTTCCATCTCTCGAAATCACGTCTTCTCGCGGGTCAACCTGTTAGTCTTGGCAGGCTAAAGCTGTCCGCCTTCCCCGGAGGCTCTGATTGGACGATCCACCATTCTTCAGGCGAGGCGATCGACGGCCGACGGTGGAGAGAGAATTCGTCCTTCATTCCTCGTGCGCTCCCCCTCGTGCACTCCTCGTCCATTCCTCCCCATGGAGCTGCCTTCCCCATGTCCAGCCAACGACCGCGAGTAGTCCGATCCCGCTCAGGTTGTCGCACGTGTCGGTGAGTGTCCAGTTCCCCTTAGGCCCCGTAAATGCCTCCGCTGAGCCCCATACCCTAGCGCCCGTCGCGTCAAATGTGACGAAACCCCCGGGGCTTGTCAACGGTGCACGTCCACCGGGCGAACCTGCGATGGGTACGACGTGCAGCGATTGCCGGGGAAGAAAGACCGCCGCCCCAAGAGCGAGATGGCGGCCGTGTTGCTCCCTCGCCTGAGCTGGGCCACGACCACCGACGAACGACAATGTCTGGCCCACTTCCAGGGACGTATCGTTCCCAACATGCACGGTTTGTTCAGGTCCCCCTTGTGGGAGGACGTCGTGACGCGTATCTGTCACTTCGAACCGGCCGCCTACCACGCCACTGTCGCCCTCAGCGCCTTGCATCAGGAGGCTGAGCGCTACGGCATTCTGGCGCCCGCCCAGCGCCGCACAAATGCCTGGTACACCTTTTCCATAGAGCAGGCCGTCCGCTCCTTCTCCCTCCTGACGAGGCGGCAGATGTCGCAGGATCCCTATCTTTACCAAGTCATTGCGCTATGCTGTCTACTGTTTGTCCTGCATGGCTGGTTACAAGGCGAGTATGACACCGCCTTCACCCATCTGCGCAGCGGCCAGCGGATCCTGCAGAACTTCCATGCCATCGTACGTCACCACGGCTGGTCCTGGTCCTCGTGCGACTCATCCGCTATGGGTACGCTAGCCACCGGCTTCGCCCATCTAGACATCAATTGCGCTTTCTTCGGGACCCAGGGCCCCGCGTACTGCGTGGAGGACAACCTGGCTCGCCAGCCCGGGCAATTGGAGGAGTCCGCCACCTTCTCCACTCTCTACGAAGCGCGCTACGCCCTCGATAGTCTGATAAGCGATTCCATTCGGTTCCTGACGTGGTGTTGGTCCCAGGACCAGATCGATCCGGCAGACAAGGCTCCGCGGGCGATGCAGCTGCAGCGACTCCTTCGGCGACTGGACCGCTTTGCCCAGCCTTTTCAGCCCTTCTATCAGCAGTCCTGCGCGCAGCTACAGGAGCAGACCCAACGTGGTGCCGACGATATCTGTCTGCTGCATCACACCATCGCGGACTCCACCCGTGCCCTCGTCCTGCAATGCGATCCCGCCGTGTTCCATGTCTACCAGCCCAACTTTCGAACCTACTGGGGCCAAGCGGACAAAGTCCGACGCCGCATCCCCGCGCGTCCCAGCGTGACCATCAACACTGGCGTCATACCGCCGCTGTTTCTGGTGTCCATCGGATGTCCGGATCCCGCCATTCGCTCGCTGGCCTCCAAGGCTCTGTCCTGTTGGCCTGAACAGGAGGACGCGTTCCGATCATATTTTTCGTCTACCCTGTCGTTGGAGTACAACAAACTCATGAAGATATTGAATTTTAAACGCACCCAGGGACCGCCATCAGGTTGCTCGGTTGCCCGAATTCCTATTGTGGGTATTCAGGCGAAGCCAAAATAAGCAATGAACAGACTACTTATCTGGACTGGATTCATTGATCATGGTGTACTATAATCGCTCTCATCCCTTTCTCATTCTTCTTCATCATCGTCTTTTTTCTCATGTTCTCTTCATCTTCTCCTCGTTCTTCCTCTCTCTCTTATTTTCCTTCCTTTCCCCCTCCTTCTTCTTCCTCTTTACTCACCTAATTCTCTATCCACCCTTTCACTTTCTCCCTTTCTCCATTTCTCATCCTCCACTCTCTCCCTACATCTTCCCGAGGTCGAAATCGATATGCATACAACCGTGTTGATTGTGAATTCACCACGCGACACACGCGCAAGCACATACATGCACACGAAGCTCTTCAGCACAGCTGGAAAAGTGTAATTATACCCCGTCATCTCATCATCGTCACTATGTTGGTACCTCGGTGGTTCCGAACCCCTTGCATCCACCTTAGCACCTTCGATGAGCTTTGACTCGCTCTACATAAATACATATACCGTGAATAACAATTTCTGTTCTTTAAATCAAGTTAAATGAAACCGTGAAGCCGATCATGCGGAATTTACTACTCATATATCTTCAGATACCAACCAGAGAAATACAAAATTGTATAGACAACACCTAAGACTAAGCGACAAGACTCAACATCCTTCTTAAATCATCGCATCCTCATAGATGACAAGCCACCGGAAGTCATAGTCTCTTTTTGCCAAATCAAGCCATTCAATAAACGGGAGCCGCTCAAAACCATCGTACGCGCGACCTGGGTCTTTTAGAACCCCCATAAACTCTTCCCTCTCAAGCCTTAGCGTCGCGGCATGTTCCAGGATCTGCAAGGTACGTGTAGTAATAGCAGATGTGACGCTTGCAAGAGCACTATTTGTTATACTGCAAGCAAGATCCATGACTGGAAGGAGGTCGCATGAGCCACTTCAACGACTGCCGGTATGTAAACGGCGGAAGGTCATGATAAGTTTCCTTAGTTCAACGACCAAGTATTCCAATAATCTGAGTGTCGGTGTTCCATGCGTATGTCGAGGTGAGAAGACCGGGACGACGAACTGCGTGGCGGCTTTGAGAAAGTTGATGGCCATCTGGCAGTTGGCGATGGGCCTCTGCTGAGTTGGGTTTGGCTGCCCACCAAGTGGATTATTGACTGGTAATCCACAGTCTGGTCAGAATCGTCGGCAAAAGTTCGCAGAAGATCCACAAAGTCTTCGGAGATCACACTCGCTGTATGTCCTCCATCATATGATTTTTGCAGACGAAAGTTCACGATTGAGCCACCGTCATCTGCGTTCTTCACTAGGACGGTCAGATCGCAGGAGGTCTGACCCGGCGAGAAGTGTTCAGTTAACAAATCAATATCCCCTAGCTTGGGAAGATCCCCACCCTCGGACTGCCCGTCGATCAGGAGGACCTGGAAAAGGGAACTGTTGGTTATGGACCGTTGCCCACTAAGCTCACCGAGGAGGGCGCCAAAGGGTAGCTGTGAATGCGCCTGAGCCTCGTAGATCGAATCGCGTGTATTGCCGAGAAAGTCGCTGAATGCATTGTCAGTGGCCCTGGGTCTGAATCGAATGGGCAGAAAGTCCTGCAGATGCCCCAAGATGCCCCTGTTAGCGCTATCTGATCGATTCGAGTCGGTTATACCGATGCAGATATCATCTGCAGCAGTCAGGCGGGCGAGGAAGATTCTCAGAACTGTAAGAAAGAACTCCAAAGGCAGTACGTGATTCCTGTTGCAGACAGCCCTGATTTTGTTCATCGTCATAGCATCAACGGTTGCACTGGCTTCTTCCGACTGGACGACCTGCCGTGCCGGACGAGGTCCCGTCATACCAGGCACAGACAACAAGGAAAATGGTTTCGGAATAGTTTCAAACTGCGACTTCCAGTAGGACAATGCGTCCTCCATCTCACCCTGCTCGAGTGATGCTCGCTGAGAGATCACATATTCCGCGTACTGTCGGGGAAAAGGAGGAAGGGGCTTTTTCAGGTACGCCAACCCTATTTCTTCGAGGAAGATATTGCCGCTTCTCCCATCCATGGCAATGGGATGCCACCCGAGGAGCAGGAAGTACGTACCACGCCACGATAGAAGCCGAACCCGAGCTACTTCTCCTTCATTTAAATTATACACGTGGTTTCGAAGCTTCTCGTACTCTCTCATGGCGCCATTTTCGTGATCGACTTCATGTTCTTCCAGTTGAAGTCGAGACTGGGGTAAGACTGCCTGAATCGGGTTGCAGTCTTCGCAATTTCCTGCGAGGTAACAGGTCCTCAGGCTCTGATGTCTCATGCTGACTGTCTGGATGGCAGTCTTCAAATCCTCAATTTGTGGCGCAGTCTTCATTCGATACAGTCGGGTCACATTGAACGCCGCTTTGTCCTCAGCCGAGTAGGTCAGAGACCAATATCGAGACTGAGCAAACGAAAGTGGCCCCCATCTTTCATAACGTCTATGTGTTGGCGGCGTGTCAAATAGAGGGCTGGAAACACGGTTACGCGCAGGGAAGGACCGGTAACTGCCGCTTCTTCTATCGTTATAATATCCCTCTCTCTGTGAAAACCCTTTCGACCACGTGAGATGGCTAGATGATGCGATCTTTTGACGAACGATGTCACCAATCGACAACCCTCCCAAAATTTTAAAGATTGGTATATCCATCGCCATCTTCTTGATGAGCCAGGACCTCAATTCCCCAGCAACCAAGGAATCAATACCGAGTTCCATCAACACGCTGTCTGACGTGAGAGAATTGTCGGACGACAGCTTCAGCATTCTTCGGACCTTAGCAACTAATAAGACATATATGATACCAGCGGCCTCGTCAAGGTCCGAGGCCGATGCAAGCTTCTTTGTCTCTTCTTGTTCAATATCTTCCGAGGCATGGGTCATTTTGATGAAGCCCCAGAATCGAGGATCGGGATACCATAGGGTCCTTGGTTGCAGAACAGGATCGACATATCCTAAACCCGCTAGTATAACAGGGCTACGAGCACTATCGACTCGGCCAGCCAGAATCCCTTCCGCGAAAACCTCGTGGAGATCTTGTTCGGAGATAGGAATCATGCCCAGTTTATCCTTCAAACCAGTAGAGAAGCCGGCCCTGAGACCATCGAAAGAGCCGACATTGTATATTCCACTTGGGTTGATTATACTACCGACGAGGCCTTGCATCCTACGCCGGTTAATGAGGCCGCTCATGAAGCTCGTCGTGGCAGCGTAAGCTGACTGTCCTGGGCTCCCCGTTATGCCGACGCTCGATCCAAACAAAATGAAGAAGTCAAGGGTATCCTGGGAATAAAGTTCGTCTAGTAGAAGGATGCTTCCAAGGATGCTTCCTTGAACATTAGGCGCGAGGATGCGCTGGATGTCATTGAAGGAAAGATCAGCGAAAAGTTGTTCATCGAGCACCATGGGTCCAGTGACGGCTCCGCCGACTGGGAGCATCTCCTCTTCGATCGTTTTTGCAACGCGTAAGACGGAATTTCGATCTGTGACTTCCATTTGTAGGGCTCTCACACTCGCGCCGGATCTCAACATCTCATCTAGCCACCACTGGTCGAGCTTAGGATCCTGACTGGCAAAGACAACAGCTCTGGCTCCTCTGGCAATCATCCATTCACATACGGACCGGCCGAAATCATCCGTCATCCCGACAAGCAGATATGTCTTGTTAGATGAAAGCGACACCTGTGAGCTAGCTGTGCATTCTCGAACAGTGACGGGGTCGCTTGTTGTCCAATCCACGATGCCTACATCGCCAGGCTGAATGGAAGTACCGGAAAGTCGTTGAAAAGGAACAGGGAGCTCCATTACAGATCCAGCCTGCATAGCTCCCCGTGCTAACTTCCAAGCCAAGTCTAGTGTAGATACCACATCCCTGCCGTTCTCGCGGCCTCCAAATACAAGCGGTCTCGGACGGACGAGATTCGTCATGTTAAGTTGTCTGACATCATCCAATATAGCCTTGCCGAGAAGCCCTTCGAGGTTCTCAGACCCTGAATCGAGGTGTGCAATGACTGAAAGCCTGACGGGAAGACGCTGTGTGAGACGGTGTACAGGGCTCTCTGGGTGAATGAATATTTGATCTGGCGAGGAACTCCGTGACCCACGAGAAGTGCTAAAGAACGGCTGTATGCCAAACTGTGAGGCCCCACTGAGTAGCGCAGCACGGATGACTTCGTTGGATTCGTGCAGCAAAATGTTTGTTCCCGGTGTGGCGCACTTGAGGACGTGTAGGGCTACTAGGGCCGCGCTCATCGCCGCCAGAACATTAGCCGAAGAGCCATGTTCAATGGGGAAAGGAAGTATCCAGGCAGATGAAACTGTCACTATGGAGGCGTTCTCGGTAGATAGAGCAAGCACTCTCTGCTGTCCCGCAAGAGTACGCCCAATGACCACGTGTAGGTAACCCAACCCATGGATGTGGATGGCGACTGGAGTGGAATAGTCGACCTCGATTTGCGGTCGATCAGGTAGAGCGGGTGCGGAAGTGTCGGTAATCAATTCAATTTTGTTGGACACGTTGACAGCCTTAACTTTACACTGCCGGTGCAGGACGTGGTCATGAATCGGTCGTCGATTGGACATATAGCGCTTGTTCATGGCATTGACTGGGAGAATACGAGGAATGTGAAGAACACCGTCTTTCTTCAGCCAGAGCTCTGGCTCCGTTGTCCATAAACATTCAGGCAGAGTGTAATTGTTTTGGAGGTCAGCCTGCACCAGCTGCATGAATATACTGGCCAGCTTCTTGGGATTAACGGCATCGACAGCATCCACGCTCATCTGTTGATATTGTTGCTCCGTGTTTTCCATGGCAACACACCGCAACAGGCCTTGAACCATACTATGATACGGACTCTTGCTATATGGACCGGGTGTGACCCACAGGACCTTGCCAGCAATTTTGAACAAAGCTTGGAGGCTTTGCAAAGTAGCTGCTGTCAGATCTCGAAAGCATTCGGAGTCCAATTCCGCCAGCGCAAGTACAGCTACTCGTCTTAACTGAGGGACTTCAAGGGTGCGTAAACTGCTTGCTTGAGTCACTTTCGTGAAATGAGGTCGCAGATGCCGTTCGAGCTCTGCTACCAAGGTTGAAGTATAACCACTGGCACCCCCAATGATGACTAGGCCTTCAGACTGGGCCACATGACGCTCGAATGGCAAAGGATCTCGAAGAATACTGACTGTATCGCTAATGGCTTGGGAGACGAAAACAGAATGAAGACCTGAAGGTATACCCATTGTGTCGACACCGGAAAACCCGACTTCTCTCAACAGCAAATTCCATTGCGCATGTTCAAAAAGCGGCAGTCGACACCCGTCATCCCCCGCTTGCGTGAACATTTCCAGGTGACTAAATGTCGAGTAATAGATCGAATTGACATCCGTCACTTCCATGAGTACAAGGTAGCCTCCTGGCTTCACTAAGCGTCGGATGTTTTTCAGTGCGGTAGACGGCGACCTGCTACACAGCGAATGGGAGACAATAACAAGGCTGTAGGAGTGTTTGTCGAACCCCTGATATAAGGGGTCATGTCCGATGTCGAGTGGCCTGCAACTAAAATTATCCACACAATCTGCATATCGTGTCTCTGTCTGGTGAAGGGCATCCTGGGACGTATGTGCATATGTGTAGGAGTGGAAAGAGGTGCCAATTTGATCCAAGACATGCTGCGTAGCAGTGGATGTGCCGCCAGCAATTTCTAGGATCTTCATGCATGGAAACCGAAAAACCATCTGTTTGACCACTTGAGCCAGATGCAGATAATCGATTTTAAGTTTAGCAGATGTATCCTGGAATTGAGAAACGGATTCTCGAGAGGGTGGGAATGTCAATGCTGCATTGGGGTGCAATGGTCCCCAAACCACGTCTGAGAACAGGAGACGATCATCTTGGGCAGTCGGTGCCACCAGGGGCAAAGAGTGAAGTCCTTCGACCTGCAATATGCCATTCCCATTCATATCAAAGAAATCTATATCTCCCTTGAACCCGGGCCCGGTATCGGTCACTGTAGCCTGAACTGCCAGAAAATCATCTGTCGCTAAGTCCTTAGAGAGTAGGCTTATGATAACCTTGCGAATCCTAGTAGGAACATGAAGGCTATAGATCCGCCCATCTCCGGGTGATCCGACGGCAGCCGTTAGAACCTGCCCTGCCGACTCCATAACTGCAGGGTGCAACAAATGGCCGGTGTCCCTGTCTGCTTTGGACGGACCTGCAACAACGGCCGACGCAACGTTCCTTTTTCGGGCCAGCGATTTGATACCACGAAAGATGCCACTGTTTCCATATCCAAGAGAATCTTGGAAAGAATAAAAACTATCAACAGCGACGGGTGTCAATCCATGCATGGGGGAATCCCTAGGGGGCAAAGACGTGGGATGCGGATCCCCTCGGACCACCCTCATCCTCCCCGAGGCGCATCGCCTCATGGTGCCGCCGAGATTACCATAACAAGCAAAGTCTGCATGAATCGCGCCTTCCCCGAACTTTAACCCACTCAGGATGAATAGAGTTTCTGTTCCTGGAGGGCTATCGCTGATCTGTATGGCATGCCCGATCGTCAGGTCTTGCACTTCGATAAGAGAGATTGCCGCGCCACGAGTGACGGCCCCGGCCGCTTCATGAACCATGGCCACATATCCGAAGGCTGGGAATACAGGCTGCGACTGAACACAATGATCAGCGAGCCATTCCATCTTCTCACGTGGCAAGAAGTTCCGCCATAGCCACTCGCCCTCGGCCACGTCCGTCAGCCTACCTAGAAGCGTATTCGGATGAACGTGCGACTTGGCTAGGAGCTTTGATACCCCTGACTCGCCAAAGTCAGATGTCGAATGGTCAAATGGGAGATCATGTTGATTTTTGGTAAAGTTAAGAGAGGATGGAAATCGGCGGTCGGTGCCCATGGCGGATATTGGCTTTTGAAGAGCGATGATTGAAGAGAGAAGGAGCGAAGGGGGGATAAGCGTAGTTCGAACAAAGTTTCGCAGTCAGAAAGAACTGGTCTAATACGCCGAGGAAGAACTTTATGGACTTATATTTGTGGCGGAAGAGCATTCTCCTATACAAAAGGTTTATTGGGAGCATGCATATTCCTGCAAGTACTATGTCATAGCTACATCTTGCGATATTGCCACGATTCAATAATTCGCCTGCAGTGCAGTGGGTTCTATAGAAGGAAGAGTTCAGCTACGCAGACTATTTCATTCCATGATTCACCGACACATTACGATCTCCAATTGTTAAGTCTCCGGTCCAAAATGCTCCCTCTTCCACCAGCCCTTGCAGTTGAAAGCGGGCCAGTCTTAGAGAGATCCTGATCCCTGGATAAGTTGGTCAAGGACAACATATGTACATGACGCTGTACCGAGATAGAAAAGAAATTAAGTCGATGTCTAGCACTTTTATTCCTTCTATTCTTTATGACGCGCGATCTCTTCCTGACCAATATCGCGATGTGCCGATTTCTTTCAATTTTCCGATCGTATTATACTTAAACCCAGAAGCTTACAAAACTTGATATTTGGCTCGAGTAACTAACAGAAACTACTACTGACGCCGAGTCATTCAACGCATCCCAATCAGCGGCACCAGATTATATCCCACGCTCTTTATTGCATATGCTGCTGCGTAGCTCGATCAGGAATATGATCAATCTTATTCGGTCACTAGGCTAGGTCATTGTGGGATTCCCTTACTTCGGGATTTCTCGGTGTCGGTGTACGGGGCTCTGATCTCAACCACATATTGTACTACTTGATCATGAGAACTATTAATATTGGATCATGTTACCGAAGGAATATATCAGTGAGCCACCTTGGATTAACTCCAATGTTAATATATTCCTATCTTTCCTCCTTTTCTCGTAATGTGAAGCTTTTCATGATCTAGGTATCCGGCTTTAGTAATCGCCCCGGGTGAAATTGGCGATATTAATGCCCTCATGTTACGCTTGAGGAGCGAAGCTTTAGGTTGTAAGCCCAAAAGATCCGGATCTACTCGGGAGCGTGTAATGGAGGTTCATTGTCTTTCTCCACTTGGTGATGAGCAACGCAGCGCACCGCATTTTCGAATTGATGCTCCCTAGCAATAGCAGTTGTCCGCATAATTATATAATCCTTTGATAAGGTTTTAGGTATAAGCTCGTCTCCGTGGCGCAATTGGTTAGCGCGTTCGACTGTTAATCGAGAGGTTGTCAGTTCAATCCTGACCGGGGACGTTCTTTTTTGCTTCCCATAATTACAATTAATTGTATGGGAAAGATATTTTTGTCTTCCATTGGGCGTGCGTGGACTGTGACCCACCCACTAGCACGAATAATTAAAGCCTGCGAGTCAAAACTTTTCCCCATTATCCAGCCCCAACACTCGCCCCAGAAATACGAGCTCCTGCTTTCCTACGCCATGTACTCCTTGACCGTGAATTTTACGGCAATGCGCGGCTGTTAAATTTCGCATATGTTATGATCACAGACTCGTGATGAAATGCAAGAAACGTCTTATATAACTCAATGAGTCGCGCAACTGCAAAAAACTCCGCGGTCGCATTGGGCATTTTTACTATGAAGAACCTGTTGAAGAAAGTCTGATATTCTATGCATAACATAATAAACGATCAAAGTATACGCCCTGGAACCAACCAATCATAAACCACATAACAAACACCATTGAATAACCCCGGTCAAGAAAGTTCTATCACGAAAAACACCGCAGCAGACGCAAAATGTACTCATTGCTTAGTATATTTCAAGGCGCCGACGACCGATCACCCGATGGGCTCGACCAAGATGACCGAAACCTAACCTGGAACCAAGTCCAAGACCTGAGCCTACACCCAGACCAGAACCGAGACCAAGACCCCCGTCCGCGGGGACAACCATGACCGGAACTGTCCCAGGAGCGGGAGCCGCTTGTACATAAGTGACTTGCTGTGGAGGAGGGTTGGGTTTGTTTCTAAACCTGGTCAGCTGGCTTTTTCGTCCCAAAATGGGGTGGGGAAAAGGACTTACAGTTTGTGATTCACCATGTTAATTCCAACAGCGCCCAGGACTGCACCTCCGGTAGTAGCGAGCTTTCCTCCACCCATCTGATGGGCCACATACCCCCCCGCTGCGCCGCCGATGACCGTTGACCCCAGACCCTTCTCACCCCCTTGTCCGTCAGAATGCTGTTGCGAGACCGAAGATCCATCGTAGTAGGAGGCATTCTCCCCAACTGGAGGCTAGGGTGAACCTGAACGATCCTGTCCATGGCTGGCACAGTTGGGACAGTGGCATTGTTCGGCGTTGGGCGATGGACTGCCATGTTGGCTATGGGGGTAAGGCTGGGGAGGAACGAAGACTTGTTGCTGATTTGGGAGTCAGCATGTGTTTTGGTGCATATTCTGGTGGAATGCGCTCACCTGAGGGACGTAGCCTCCCTGATGCTGAACATGCTGAAAGGGATATGAGGGTTCGGCTTGTTGGGTAGGCATATTACCATAATACTGCGACATGATGAAAAACGACTGGGATGTATTCGTAAAAGGTATGTTCAGAAAAGATATGATTGAAAGAGATAAAGAATTTGATATAGAGTTAAGATGGTTTGAGGAGACTGAAGTTGTAGAGCGAGAGAGGGCGAGGACCGCTATTTATGTCCGACGATCCGTGACCGCAGCCTTGGATCTTCTAGAATTCTAAAACATCCCAGGCACAACCTTTCCCCACAGCGCAGCCACGACAGCATCGTCAACTTCCATCCTCGTTAGCGATCGCCGCATGTCAGGGACTGAGTTAAGAAGCATTGACGAAGAAGCATTGCTGCATTAGGGCTGATGGAGCCACTCTTGGCAGTGTCCCCTTCCGCATCGGGCATGGTCGGTATGATGCAACACCGCGGGGTTAGGGACTCGGGATATAGGGTTTCTGTTTGGGAAGAATTTCAGTATATTTGACTTTTTGACCACGGCAGCTATGTGAACGCGCCAAAGAGTCTATTTCATGTATTTAAGGCTGTATTTATATAGTCGATGACACCGAGGGCTTACCCCCTGAAGGCTGAACACACAAGATAGATAGAAAACGGTCAAGAGAATAGAGTATCTGTCATTGAATGGTATCCAGTCCTCAGTAGGCTACGTACGTGTAGCTGATACAGCTTCATTCTGCCCTCCTTCCCCTGCGATCACAACAGAAACAATTTATCCAGAGCTGCTAAGTCGTGTCTTCAAATATGGTCAGGTCGGTATGGCTCGGCTAGGACGCTCTAGTTGTTAACCTTGGCAGAAGAAAAACAAGAATCTAAGACTAAGATTCCTGCCGAAGTCAGAAACATCCCATTGATAAACCCAGTCGATGATAGCAAATGGGTTTTGTGGATTTTTGAGACTCCTGGTCATTGAATATCATCTGTCCTCTGCTTGTCTCTCTTCTTTTAGTATGAGACAGGTGAAGATGCAGTTAGATCTATATTTTGACTCCACGCTTTTGGTAGCTAACAAATGATTTGCTCAATGGCTTGGAGAACAAAGACTGTAGATAATGTCAATCAATTAATTGACTCGCCTAACGTACTACGTGGATAGGTGGCTTACCGAGTAGTCTGTCTCCGGGAGGTCATTGACACCGGGAGACTTGGAGAACTTGAATTGCCGCACCAGCACGGCCAAGATCGTGCCCAGCTGCACATATGCAAACTGCTCACCGATGCAGCGATGACGGCCGGCACCAAATGGAAGGTACGGGCTATTAGTGCCTTTGCTGACCAGGCCATAACCGTAATCGATCTGTTCCTCATCCTCGTCCTTGGCCACCATAACCTTATCCCAGCGATGAGGGTTCCACTTCATTGGCTCGGGGAAAAATTCCTCTGATCGTGCAGTAAAACCAGGGGAGGAAAGGACATTGTGGGTAGTTGGGATGACGTACGGAGTTCCCTCCACAGGCATGGGGTTCTTGACGGAGCGGAGGATCGAGTGGATGGGGGCGTGGATGCGAAGGGTTTCCTTGATCACCTTGAAATGCAGATCCAGTTTCTGAAGGCCCTCGTAAGTAAGAGAAGGCAAGTCGGCACCTAGGACTCGAAGTTGTTCTTGGTAGAGTTCCTCCATGATCTCCGGGCAAGTGGCCAGGCGCAGAACAATCCAGGCCGCCGTCGAAGACGAGGAGTGCTGGCCTGCCATCAACATGGCGATCATCATATGAGCAACCTCCTCATCGGGGATAGGTTTACCATTCTTGTAGGTGCACGACATCAGATTCCAGACCATGTCCTCCGAATCTTTCTGGCCACCAGCCTTGCGACGGTCCCGAATAATCTTCGTATACGTCTCGGTCAACCTCCGCTGCGCAGCGTCACGCTTGCGGTTGTGGGGGAGCGGGGCCCAGGGTAGTATGAAGTTTATCGGCGCGAAGCCCATATCAAGGTCACGGTACATCCGGGCAAAAGTAGAGTCGAATCGATCCCGGACTTCCTTGCCCTGGAGCGAGCGCGATGCCGTGTATATAGTTATCTCGGCAATGATCTTGGATACGTCAAAGGTGCCCTTAAAACTCTGGAACGCGGGGGAGTTTTGAACGAACTGATCAACCTCGTTGGTGATCAGGGGAACATAGGATCGAAGCGCTTCGGAAGTAAGGCCAAATTTTACAAACTGCACTGGTCGATCAGCCCCTGATTCAGCGATACATCCCAACATAACTCTCCACTACCTTCTTCTGCTCCATTAACTTGGAGTTCGGGCAATCATAGACGACATCACGCCCAAAGACAGGGGTAGTCAGAGGCGAATAGACCTCCTCGGCGCAAACATCCCGAAGCTTGCCATTTAGAATAAAGTCATTGCCCTTGGTGCCCAAGTAGACGGTGGTTTTCTTGCCGAGAAGTACAAAGGTGAAAATGTCACCGTACTGCGGAGCAGCCACAATTAATAAAAACTCAACAAAAGCGATCTCAAGTAAAGACACCATCAATTACATACTTTTTCGCGGCAGCTGAAGAAGAATTTGTACGGGTCAATGCCATACTTGACAGTGCTGCCAATGAATGGAAACCAGTGGAAAACCACAGGCGGCTCATGAGGACTCTTGAACAGCAATTGGCGCAGGAAATTGACGGCCACGGACAGTGAGATGAACGATAACGCGCCAGCCACTGCCAGAGTCCAGATGAAGGGGGTCGAGCAGTGCTCGCAGAACCTATCGATGGAACTGGAAAAGATGCCCATGGCGACGGCGAAACGAAGGGGGGCAGCTGGTGGGTGGGGCGGGTAGGCAGGTAGCAAGAGAAATCCAGTTAAAAGGGGTGGCGGCTATACAATATATAATAATCTCTACTATCATTCGCTGAACGGGAAACCCGACATCCGGGGGGATGAAATAGGTGCATAGGCGGTTTAGAGGATCACACCACTTCGGTGGAGCCGTCTTCCGCCGGTGCCTGGCGATTGCACGGCGTGGAAGACTGGAAGTATTCCGTCAACTAGCCGCCATCACCAGTACATGGTCGACCCGGGGCGCCTTTGGATCTTCTCTATCGGCACCTTTTGATGATCTTGATAGTATGTCCTCGGATCCACCACGGATCCACCCGTTTCTCAAGTGTGGATCAGCACTATACTTAATGAAGTCTGCGGGAGCGATGGCGATCCACAGTTAGTTGCCTGAACAGTTGTGCGAAAACGATAGAGGTCATATTTTCTCTGGTAATCAGATTGGCCACTATAGCCCATTGGCCGGTTCCAGGATTCGGACTCAAATTTTTTGAAAGATACGCCCTTTGTATCTCTTCTCGGCGGTACATCCTATCATTGTAGTTGCCTCTATGCCAACATGGCTGCACAAGGTGACTCACATTCCCATTTAAGTCTCGTTCAAGTGACTTGATCATCTATATAAACCCTTTTACCTACCCGTCCAAAGTCCACCATCAACTATCCTTTCTCTTTACTTCACCTCACCCAATATGTTCATCCCATCCGTCCATGCGGAGACAGATACCCCTGTCCTCCATCGATTCATCCGCGAAAACCCCCTAGGAATGCTCATCACAGGACTCAAATCCTCCCAAGACTTCCTACAATGCACCCACGTCCCCTTCATCCTAGACTTCCCCGAGGAGACCAACGACTCTGCGCCTCTGGGCCGCCTACGCGCCCATATCGCCAAGCAAAACCCGCAAGTAAAAGCCATGATCGAGGCTCTAGAGACCAAGCCTAACGTTCTAGACCTCGAAAACGAAGTTCTGGTGATCTTCAACGGGAGGCACGACCACTATGTGACGCCTAAATACTATGTCGAAACTAAGCCCGACTCGGGGAAAGTCGTTCCGACGTGGAATTACGTCGCGGTGCAGGTTTATGGCAAGCTGTCTCTTTACTATGACTCGAAGACAGCTGAGGCGGGGGAGTTTCTCGCGAAGCAGATTCGGGATCTTTCGATGCATACTGAGACGTCTGTTATGGGGTATACTGGTGGGGAACGGCCGCAGCCGTGGAAGGTGGAGGATGCTCCGGAGAGGTATATTGAGTTGATGCTCAGGAATGTTGTTGGGGTTGAGATTCAGATTCAGAAGATTCAGGGCAGGTTTAAGATGAGCCAGGAGATGCGGGCGGGCGATCGGGAGGGTGTGGTGAATGGGTTTGCGAGATTGGGCGGCGAGACGGGTGAGGCTATGTCGGCTTTAGTCAGAGAGCGTGGTGTGTTACATGATGAGAAGAAGGGGAAGGTTTGAGGAATGGGGATCCAAATACAGACTATTTTAAAAAGTTTCAGCTCGTGAATTTAAATCTATTTCCTCTTTTCACTCATAATTGATCTGTCGGGCGCTTTCGGCAAGTTCCTTTCGACGGTTTGCTGCTACGTCCTAGCTGTTGTTAGACTATGAGGACTATTTTTTAATTATCTATGTATGTATGTATGTATTGTATATTTATATTTTCGCTGGGTGAATGGCCGTTGGCTCTTATAAGGCATTTATGTGTCGCTCTGTCAAAGACGACGGCTTCTCGAACCGCACCTGAAACGCAAACGAAACATATGGGACACTGTAGCTAGAACGACTTAACAAGAGACAATGATTGGTGGGGTCAACATCCCACATTGCTCAAAGAGCACCCCAGGCTGCTGAAAGGCCATCGAAGCAGCCATTACGACAAGTAAAGCGAACCACAGTTGACCATAAACTAGCAACTCTGCCGAGGCGAGATCTAGCAAGCTGCTAAATTAGGATTAGTGTACTTTATAAAGTAGTCTGGATATTCACTTCGTGCTGACCTGCTGCTGTTCTGCAGTAGGTCAGCAGCAGATGCTCACCCCCGGAGGGTGAGCATCTTTCAGCGGGCAGAATTCTCAATACCTGATTGCATCTAATCGATACATTAGGTGCACATTAAGGGAGCCCCCAGTTGCAAGGAAATCCCACTGTAAGCTATTAAACCCGGACGTACCCCCTCGCCCCAGATGTTTGCTCTTTACTTCAACCCGTTTTTGCTATCACATCATGGCAGTAAAAACAAGAATTATTCAGCGCCGACGGTCGGACAGTACCAAGTCAAAATGCCAACAACGAAACCGAAGAAAGATGCATTTGTTTCTGAAAGCTTTTGAATACTGTCAGGAGTGTGATGCAGATATCTTCTTGACAATTCGATTGAGACACAATGGCCAGATTGTTTATTTTAATTCTGACGGCTGCTGGTCTCCTTCACAGGAGCAGTTGATACGTTTTTCTTTAAACCTGTGAGACAATAGCAGTCTAACCAACTTAGGCTACTTACTATCCAAAGCCTAGACAGGTTACTTGGCAAGAACTGGCTGCTCAATACAAACCCTAAAAACTTCGCGCAAGGCCTGATAATGAAATATTAGGACATACGAATTAGTCAAAGTGCCGGCACTTTGGCAACAAATTACTCGCTGCGAGGTGCTGATTACCAATTCCTCCGATGAGCAGTGCATGAGGCGGCAATATGTATAGTCGATTGGATTTGACTTGAGATGGACTTGGAGCAATTTGGCGAGGCATACCTCTATTGTGGTTTCCACTGTGCTATTACTTTTGTACCTATTGGATCACATCGAGCTTATTACTACATTTAAAATTTCATCTGCTGGGACAGTGATATTAAGATAGGCAGACGTTCAATACATGAAATCGTTGTTACCCCAGGTCATTCTCAGGGTTTCCGCGACATGCATGGCCCACTTCTTTCCTCTTGATCTACGTCTCTTTGCATGGGAAGGCGGCTGACCTGAAAAAGATTGGCAACCGCAAAAACCGAGCTCTTCATTGGTCATGTCGCCGAACCTTGGCACAACAGAGGAATCAATACATTGCAGCCCCGAAGAGCGTCGCAATGCAAGTGCTCACCACACTCAGGGTGGGATGAGGACTCAAATGCATCCGAAGTGATGTGGTTTACATTCAAGTTTTCATATCCGTTGTCTTCCTGGTCACTGTGGGCATATGCTTCTGACTCCTACACTTTACTTTATCCGCGACCGTACCCTATCTCCACCGGCCGTTCATCGACAACAGCCTTCCTGGCTCACCCCCAGTTCACTAGTAGGGTGCGACCCCTTTTGGTGCCGCCTAGCCCCTGCAGTCTCCAATCCCAGTTTGCTCGCACCCCAAGTCTGTCCGCACATCCAAATCTGACGTCGGTAACATTCACGTGATTATAACATATAAGATAGCGTAGGGAGAACAGTTGCGTAGGGAGGGTGATTGCGTATAGAGAGTGATTGCGTACGGAGAGTGAATGCGTATAGAGAGTGATTGCGTACGGAGAGTGAATGCGTACGGAGAGCAGTTGCGTATGGAGAGTTAACGTACAATTGCAGGCCAGGTCAGGTTACCCTCAAGTCGCGCCCACCCTCTGGTCTCCATCACCCGCTGGTCTCCATCACCTGCTGGCCTCGCCTACCCGGAGGTCTTGCTCACCCACTAGTCTCTGACAAGCGGTGGTTTCGGTAGGCTACTTTGCTCCGTGAATGCAAATAGTGACAGTGGACGGGAAGCGTTCTTCCTAACGAGAGGTTACATGTTCCAGATAGCTTTAATCCAGCCCTACCCGTTGCTGACGCCAGAGAAAAGAAGGGTTGAACTGGTATCCCAAAGCTTCTTGACAATGAGCAGTCTCAATGACTCTGATACTTGTTTGCGAGATGTAGATAACGTCTGTAGTCAGTAATACGAACAGACCCATAAGTATAAACAGACCTGGGAGTATACAGACTGTTGGACCGCAGTCGTCTCTATAGTCATAAGTGGACTACTGGCTGAGGAGAACCTTCATTAGCCCTAAAGATACGTCTCAGCCTGATTATACCTCGAATCGAAAGTACGGCTGCCAGTGAGCCGCATACTATGCCGGGCGTAGTGCATGGCTAGCGACAGCAATGGGATGGGTCTCAGAAGAAATGAGTGATTGGATCATCCTAGGACGAAACGACACCCAGGAACAATTAGTCCCAGGAATAGATAATTCCCAGGATCAAACAAATCCCAGAACGGACGAAAACCAGAATAATGAATAACTGTGGAATCATGGCTCCCAGGATTGGCGGGGCCAAGGGAAAACGGAGCATTCCGAAACGGGAAACAAGTTAAAGAAATTAGCGTTCATCTCCCTACCTGGCTTACGTGAATCACTACTAATATTCCACTTCTTACAACTTGTATTTACTACCCCAAGCCCACCAGAATATTTAGGAAGGATCTTCGCAGGAGACCATCCAAATAAGGCCATTTACCTGAAGGCCGACCAACAACCCCTACCTAAAAGTGATGCCAAAGCATAAAAGTATAGGTATTGCCCCAGCCCAGAATTGCTTAGCGTATCTTACTAATTTGCACACCTTGATGATGCCGTTTGGATTTGTTATACAACTTCTTGTACTTAGGACTGTCATGCCAATCTTTTTAGTTGGCCATCAGCAATTCTCTGATATAACGGATCAACATTTTACATACCTCGAACGGGAAAGAGCCTGGTTAAGGATAGGGGCACTGCACAAAATGGGCTCAGTACATGGGCCTATCCAGCACCTCCACCGTGTATGCGGCGGAGCTTAAAGGCCTTGTGCTCGCTCTACAGATGATCCTCGACATCCATGTAGCAGGCGTTCCCCCTGGGAAATGTGCTATCTTTACCGACAACCAGGCCGCCATCCAGACGATAAGGAACCCCAAACATCCATCGGGGCAGTATATCCTCGTCGAAGCCATACAAGCACTCGACAAGCTCCGACAATTGGGGTGGGAAGTGCATTTTCGCTGGATCCTAGCACACGTCGGTGTCCTAGGCAACGAAGAAGCCGACCGAATGGCAAAGGAAGCCGCCAACCCTACCCGAATTACCGAACAATCTGGAGCGAGCTCGATACGAACGTTGATAGCAACCACGAAATCCACCATCCGCCAAACTATGACACGCGAGTGGGAGACATCTTGGGAAACGCGAAGTACGGTAGGGATCTCTTCCGTCTTAGAGTTCGGCCAGGAAAAGCAATCCTCGATACCCACTTGAGAACACATAGAGCAATCAGTTCGGCAATTACGCAGATGCGCACAGGCAAGATTGGCCTGGGGGCTTATCTTCACGCCATCAACAAGGCCGACACCGACAAATGCCAATGCGGCTGCGGACCGCAGACCGTACGGCACGTCCTCCTGGAATGCCGAAACTGGGTTGAGGAACGACACCGAATATGGGCAGGCAAGTCTCCATGCGTAGACATCAAACGCATCCTCTGTAGCTCGTCAATGGCGGTACAAGCAGCAAAGATGATCCTGAGGACGGGGCTTTTAGGAAAGTTCCAGGCGATCCCGTCCACAGTACTCCAACATCACTAGCATGCGAGTGCATAACCAGTAAACAGAAGTTGAGGAGGGCCAGGAAAGGGCCGACAAGCCACAGAAACAGAACGACCATCAGAACTATCAGAAAGGTGCGACTGCTGGGAGCAGAAGGAGGAAGTAACTCTGGCAGGAGCGACTTGTTTTCTGGATGCAAGAAGCGGGAACACTTGTATTTATAGTTGCATGCTGCATAGCTGCCAATAGGGCGGCTGGGACAGTCTTATGAATAAATAAATCAATCAATCGATCAATCAACGGGCATTCAAAGAATAGCGTAGGCCTAAGAATAGCATAGGCCATAGAAAAGCGTAGGACATAGAGGATCGGTGTTATCCCAGGCAACGTGTTATCCCAGGCAACGAGATGAAAATAATGAGAAGGGGGAAATGAGAAGTGAGAAGTGAGAAGTGAGAAGTAAGAAGTGAGAAGTAAGAAGTAGTGAGTGATGAGCAATGACGTCAGCTGACCTCCTTCAAGAAAGAAGTCTAAAAGATTCAAGGATGTTAGGCAGTTTAGGTAGTCCCTGCTGCACATCAAAAAGAGATGTAAGATCACGAAGGCTGAAACAAAAATAGCCTTGTCTGGTCTTATTAAAACCTCAGAGCTCCTGGGCAGTTTCACATATATAATATTATATACAAGTTGCTGGTAATGTGTATATGGGGTTGCGTGCTCGCTTTTCTATGGAATTAGGAGATTTCTTCGAGTTTCTCTTTGCGTCAAACCGTAGAGCACTTTCTTATGTAACATTCATTCTGTCTCCTGCTGACATAGACAAGCAGTTTCTCTCCTTTATTCTCTTCGGACAAGAAGGTATGGCAGGAGCTTCATCCTCCACCGCCCGCCCCCTTTCCATTTTTTTTTTTTTTTTTTTTTGCTCTTTCTTTTAGAGGAAAAATTGTTTTTGTTTTGATTTGCTAATAATTGAGTATTTGTTTTCACTGTACCAAGAAGGCAAAGAAAGTTACCATTTCTTTGAACAAGCGCCAAGGACCCGTTTTTCGTGATAACGTTTCATTACGTCAGGAATCAGGATGCACGGTCCGCACCCCAACACTTTATATAATCGCTCAGGGGAATGACGAGTAAGAAGGCAGGCCTAAACAGACATTCATTGAAGTATCTGGCGCTATGTTTCGGAAATCTAAGCATGGGGAGGAAAGATATTGACAAGTTCGTGGTTCGTAGTGTTGTGGGATAACCTCGCCAGACGCTAGTTCGATCGGTCCGAGCTGTACGAGACCTAAGCCATAAGGAGAATGCAAATGAATGAAGTGATACTCTATCTAAAACGTAGCCTAGAGTACAGAGATACTTGAGTGCTTGGGTGTTTGAAGAGGATTGTGGCCTCTGCAAAATATGAGCCTCGGACGGATTAATGTTGTTCCCGGCTTCCGAGCTAATTACATCACATCAACATTAACTAAGTTACAAATTGTGTGATAGGGGCATAGTTGGCAATTCAGACCTATTGGGATTCAGTACCCAAGACTGTGATCCTGACAATTAGAAACTATTGATGTTTTATTTTGCTCAGCTGTGTGTAGGTGGAGATCCTCGGCTCGACCCAATGATCGACAGTGATTCAATTCACGGGAAACCATGAATGTGAACTCTGCGCCAATCCGGGGAAGCAGAGGGACTCTGCGCGATTTGCTACTGAAATCTGAATCAGTGGGCAAGGACCATTCATGGGGTCTGCAGTATCTCAGCTGATCACCAATAGCCTAGATCACAGCCGCAGTCTGTCACATCCGACGAACCTCGGCTCAGATCTATCCGTAGATATTCAGGTAAGGCTGGGTGATATGTCATGTCTGGAGATATTAATCTACTTTTGATAGATGAAAAGATGCATTAGGCCCTGTGTAATCGCAGGCCCTTGCTTCCATCCATGGGGAACCCCTCAATTGATCCATTTGAGTAGGTATGTAATGCGAAGTGCCTTACGATCTTTTGATCTCTGTCAAGGAGAGGGGCTACCAGCTGACTGATTCAATTAAAAGATTGAGCTGACTTGGCATGTAGATCCTAGAATCTCCCATGTCTTATCAACATTCCCGCAAAAGGCAATGTAGACACTACTGACTCGACTTTCGGAGTCTGCCGAGTTGACTGACTCGTGATCCTGTCAAATTCTCAATTCAATCAAGTATGTTAATGTTTCGATGATGCTCTCCCATTCATCAAGGTAAAGAGCCAAGTGTTTGTTCATTAAGAATTTCTACTCTGCTGAAAGTTACTATATCTTTCTCGACGTCCACGTTATAATTCAACTCCTCTGTACGGCTCTATAGTAGGACCCATGAGTGACATAATATGCACAGACTCATTAGTTCCATCATTCCAGCTCAATTCTTTGAATATGATATAGCGCACATGCCAAGAGGTCGCCCCTACTTCAACACATTCGGCTATTCAGCCCGTCCATTCCAGATGGGCTGTCGATCTTGAAGGCTGTCACTCACCTTTCCCCCAGAGGAAATGCAACATTCCAAATACTAGACCAAGCACCTTTGCTTTTTCTTTCTCCGAAGGACATATAAGGTGGCACCTCCGTTGGCCTCGAAGGAATTCCAACACAGCATTCCATCCTCCACCAGTTCAATTATCAAGTCATTTTCAACTACACCCATTTCGCAGACCCATTCCACTCCATCATTTCATCATGAAGTTCACTGTCGCAATCGCCACCGCCGCCCTGGCCTTCGCAGGTTCCGCAAACGCTGGCCCATGCAAGGCTGGCTTGGATTACTGCGTCTATGTTCTGGATACTCTGAGTAAGTGCATCTCGCGTACCCCATTAAACCATTGAATAGACTCATGATCTTTTACAATATAGACTATGGCTACCATGACGCTGTTAAGCAGGAGCTGCGAAACAAGGGGGAGATCTTTCTCTCTAATGCCCCAGGTCTCTGGGATGGTCTCCTGTTCCACTGCAACAACGATCAAACCATTTCCTTGAAGGACAAGTGCGCTGGTGGCTGCTTTAATGGCGGAAACGGCAATAGCGATATTTGCAGCCATGATGCGTCGAACTGGCTGTGAAAGACACACAGAGAAGCAGCCTTTGTGAAAGAATTGATGGGATTTTGAGGACAGGCTGGTGAATGGCTTGCAGATTTATTGGATTGTCTGTATGCAGAGCTTGATAATTGATCAGAAATTTATGGTCTATGCCATAATCTGATGGAATGAGCTTCCTAGAAAGTGTAACTTGTTAATCATTTAATCGATAAGATAAATCGTGTCTCGCACTCCCCCCAAAAAATGGGCAAGATCCGGTGTGATCGATACTTCCTCGTTCATATAGAAAACCCTATCTGCATTCCGACTTAAACTCCACAAACCCTAACCTTACGCATGCTACTGACTGCGTTCGGTATTAGAATATTTAGAAAACTAGCCTCCGACAAAGTTCGAACGATGACCCGAACACCAGCAGAAATACTTACTCTTTCGAATAAAAGAATGACTAATTGTTGAAAAAGCCTCCAATTGCATTTAGCGACTATATCTAACGGACTAGATACAAGGCCGCTATCAAGGCTTATGAGATTGATTGAAAGATGCACGACGCATTGCAGTGGCCTGAATCTTCCACACAGGCCGTGCTAATTCCAAGAAACGAGGCCCGAACTGTTCGAAATCACTCTTGAAGTTTTTTTCCTGGTCGATCTTGTCACACCTCCAAGTCATCCGTTGAGCATCTACAGTATCTTCGAATCCGATATATGTCCACAAATCTCTCCAGTTGTTTATAGCGTGCTTGAAGTCCTCGTGATCCAGGTTGACGTTCTTTGCCACGAGATAGAATGACGACTTGGTAGCGTGTATCTCGGGGTGTTTGTATACCTGTATCTCAGAGAACCTGCTGAGGGCATGAAGAATGCACACGGTGTGCCAGGCATCAATCCGATCAAGAAGCAGGACCAACGATCCCCCGGGCTTGAGTCGATCCAGGGCAAACACCAATTGAGACAGCGACAGGCGAATTGCTTCGCAGTAACTTTGGTAGTCTTCTCTGGGCTGGTATTTTGCCGGCGCACACCCACAGAATATGAGGTCGTACGGGCCGCCAAGAAAAGGACGAGTAATTTCATACAATTCGGTTTCAAAATCGTTCTCCACCACTCCTTCGTCGACCAAGTTGTATATCAATTTATCAGTGTGCATGACATATCGGAATATATGTGGGTTCAGAACGTTGTAACCACCAAGGGGTGTAGGCAGAATGATTGTGTCGATGATTGATTTTGGAAGCGCTTTCTCGACGGTCGCAACGAAGCCTCCCGGAGCCATACAGAGATCAAGGACCTGAGGGGTGGACGTGTGTAGCTTGAGGATATTTGTTTCCGCCACCAGCTTTTCCCCGGTTGTTTCCATTCCTCGGAAGAGATCCTCCTTTGCAACTCTTGCTTGCAGGGCCTCGACGTTTATCCTCTGCCTCTTCCGTCCAGCTTTAGGGAGATAATCTGTATTCGAAGCTTCCAAGGCCTTTGGCTCGTTAGCACATATATTGGTTCTTCTTCATTGAAAATGCTCACCTTCGTTCTCAGATCTTGCAGCTCGCTGAAAAGCGGGTCGGAAGAGATGTATTCTTTCCACCACTCGGGAGCTCCATTGTTTTCAGTCGTATTTGCCTGCATCTTGCAAATTTTGAGCGTGGTTTGTGGTATCAATACGAGGGAGTAGGAGTAGAAAAGGTGGCTCTGAAAGTGAGGGTTGCCCCAGGGGGAATGGATGGTTCCCCGTCAGAGTGAATGACACCGGTGCACTCTGTCGACGCGACAACGTCTTGGTTTGTTTATTGTTGGGAGCAAACACCTGTTCTTCCTTTCCTTCACACACTCTCCTCCAACACTTTTCTTTCTTTTCTCTGTTTGATCCTTTGTTCTCCATGGGTGTCTGACTAAAATAGAAAGCCTTCATCATGACGGCACCTCTTCAGGCACCTCTAGACAAAAGGTATGCTCTTCAACAAGCTACCCCCTTGCCAAATGCTAAATTCTACTGTTTTGTAGTACCTTGACCGGCATAACACGAATCATTGTCGGCATTCCGGAAACTACCTTTGATGTCCACATTGAGCTCTTACGCTCCTGCTCCCCGTTTTTCGATCGTTTGTTCAAAGATCATTCCCTTCAAGAAATCCAAACCAATCCCGTCCCCCTTCCACACGATGACCCTGACCTGTTCGGCGATTTGGTCAGCTGGATCTACCGTGGCACTATCTCCAAGTATTTCCTCGCGGAAGACACTGATTTCTTTCTGCTTCGCCTCTGGGTTCTTGCTGCCCGGTTTGAGATGCCCGGATTGCAAAACCACGTGGCCTCGCACTACCATACTCAACCAGGTGGAGTCTTTGATCAGGCTAAGATCAACTTCGTCTACGAAAACACTCGGCCTGACTCCCCTCTCCGTCGGCTTGTAGTTGAAATGTGGGTGCGCAACGGAACACAGGCCGGATGCTCCGAGCTTCTGCACTCTTTGCCTCATACCTTTCTCGGTGATCTTTGCGGCGCACTGTTTGAGAGAAAGGACACTAGCTCCAACTCTGTGATGAGCGTCGCGGATTTTGCAAAACGGTATCATGTGCAGACTCATGTGGAGACTCTGGCTATACAGGATCATCCAAGAAAGAGGCTCTTGGAGAATGAAGTCAAGGAGGAGTCCAATGTTCCGCAGCGCGCGACAGCGGCCCAGATGGAAAGACGAAAGATCCTTACTCCAAAGAGACGGATCACTCCCTCCCCTGGTGCTTTGAGAGTCAGTTCTGATGATTTGTGGAAGAAACGAAGGATGAGCTGAGAGCTGTAAGGTTCATCTTCACGTCTGTTGTAAGATATCTTGGGTTTTGTCTTGTTCGTACGGTCTGCTCTTACGGCGAATTCTGGACTGGTCTACTGTTTTTGAATGGCATTGAAGAAAAAAAAAATGTACACCTTGCAATGTGGAACTTCATAAATTGATTACACTTAAAAAGACTTTGGTCCTCTTCCCTCTGATCATGATTCATCTGGCCAGTTTACTATCAAGATTACCGTCTTTCTAAGTAAATTCATCTCTTGCAGCAGCATAAATAGTATTCATAATATATTGCACACTTCTGTGTTTTTATCAGTGGGAACTCTTCTGGCTTGAAGTTCCAGCTATCTGGGTAGCATATCCTCCTCAGCTAGATCCAGCTAAGTACTTCTTGGAATAAACAAGATTCTGTTACAATGCTGTGCAGAACGAGAAATCGCTAGTAAACTTAACTAATCTGGCCAATTGTGCGGCCATGCCTGTGAAAGTCCCCTAAGGCTCTGAGGGATTCCAGGAACAATGGAGTGAATAAGTCTTGTCAGGTGAAATACCCACGCACCCGCACTTCATTTCAATGTCTTTTTCTCCCTCCCACCTCTGTTCCCTTTAACCTCCACCATCAACCAGTCTTGGTAGTTGTTTTACATCTGCTATCCTGAGACTAGTTGATTGAATCAAAATGTCTATCGACTCTCTAGGGTAAGTTGCTGGTACCCATGACCTTGGACTTCTTTCTGATTGTTCTTATCTGAAGATGGCCTTTGTTCTGCGGTGACATTTTACACATTAAAGTGAAAAATGCCATCTTTTCCGTCCACAAAGAGTTACTATGTGGCTGCTCTTTATACATTTTCCAATTATGCCAAAATCGTGATAATCCAAATGAGCTTATCGACTTCGAAGGGACAGAGCCCTAGCTATTCCATGAAGTACTTAGCTGGACTTACTAGGGAAGAATATGCCGCCCAGAAAGCTGGAACGTCAAGGCGGAAAATTTTCTCATAGATCTATGGCTTCTTGCAGCTAGACTCAAGGTCCAAAATCTGCAGGACCGAACAATGATGATCCTGAAAGAATACGTCGAGCCAAGTAAAATGGAATCCGAAGGGGTCTACCGGGTCTACAACAAGACAGAGAAGGGTTCGCCGTTGCGTCTCTATGCTGTAGATACATAGGTACAGCGTGCGACAGGTGACGACCTCGAGGAAAGTCTGCCTCTATTGCCTACGGACTTTATCGCCGACTTGAGCATATCTTGGATGAATCAAAGAAAAGAGGGTCATGTGAAGATCGACTATCCGCTCGTGGATGATAAAGATCGCTACTTTGTGTGCTACGATTCCGAGAGCAGCGAGTCTGATGCTCCTTCGTCTCGGTACGCATAGGGACATCAAGCAAGTCTAATCCGATTTTGGTGACTAAGGTGAGGGTTTTATAGTCGGAGAAGCACAAAAGACATGGGCACATAGCTGTTTTCGACTTTCACGATGATTGGATTCTCTTTTCTTTTGTTCTTTTCGCTTCTCTGAATTGTTTTTGGGTCAATCTTAACTTGGAGGGAAGGGGAAGTAAAACAACAGAGGGAAAGAAAACCACCACGTGGAAGCTGATTTGTATTGAATTGTTTTGGGAAAAGACGCCTTTTGGTCTGCATATGTTTGTTGTCTTTACAAGTCACAAATCAGATTTCTGGAATTATACATACCCAAATTCCAAATTAAGACTGAATTATTCCCAAATCGAAGGTCTATCCGACGGCACTATTCTATAAATTCGACGAAATCAGATGCCGCAAACTTGCTACAGACTTCTCGATATGCCTCCCTAGGCCCCCGTTTGAGATTGGATCCGTGTGTTGTTTCTGACTTGCAGAATATCATGAGCTATCCAGCTAGCTCTATGCTTTTATTTACACCCATCTACTTTTTTAACCTCAAAGTCAATGTTGATCTAGCCACATGTTCGTGTTTCCTTTGGGTAGGCTAGAATATATTTATGTCTTTGATATCGTACCTTAGATTCGAAGTGACCATTTGCTATGACTGATGATACCAAGATAACCTTCCCAATGGAAGAGTGTCGGGGATATAATTGGGACATGCCTCAAAGTACCTACTACAGGGAGCTTCTATGTCAGGCCGAGGGTATGCTGTACGCCTGACTGGGGACCAAATTGGGCCTGCCCATGACAAGGGCAGAGGCAAAACCCGTCCCCTTCTTATGAGCACTCTATTGGCTTCATCGCCCCGTCATGATTTTGCGGTTGTTCCCTGATGCCTCAGGCTATCAATCCTTCCCAATCAGGAAGCCACTGATAAGATCTGGTTAACTAACTAGTTAACTAGTTAACTAACGTATTTCATAAGCGAGATAGCTACACAAGCGGAATAGCCACATCACGCGTTTTGGCCCCGGTCGAAAACCTCGCTCAATTCAACCACCAACCATGCCTC